AGCACCTCAAGGCTTCTGAAAGCGGCGCTTTGCCGGGGTGGGGGTGGGTGGCAGGGGCAGGCCCGCCCCCCACCCCCTAGAGCCCCCCTCGCACCGCTTTCAGAAGCCTCCTGGGGCTTTTTCAGCAATGAAAATGCACCTCTGAAAGCCCCGCTTTGCCGTGGGGAACTGTCATTTTTCATGTGCTCTGTGGGACAAGTTGGCTACAGAATGAGGGAAACAGATGGCCATGATTAGGTTTAGAGTCATTTGAAGTAAGAGTGATTTCTAGCAAGCTGTAGTGCAGGCAATCATTTGCTGAGTTAAAAATGTACTGAGGGCAAATATTCTTTTAATGACAGAAATAGGAAATATGAGGTCATTAGATGCTGGACTGCAACTTCCATCGCTGGTTAATCTGGTAGGGCTGGTGGAAGATGCAGTACAGCAACATTGGAATGGCCACACATTTCTCATCCCTCAGAATAGGGGAAGTGCATTTTTGTACATGTGTTTCCTACCTCAAGCTTCGGTGAGGCATAATTCTTAAAAGAGGGATGTAGGAACTCTGGAAAATTCTCAGAATTTAATCCTATTCCAGCATTATAATGTGGCTACATTTTTGGAGTGACACAATCGGTCCCTACTTCCCTTTATCACCAATTTCACGTGAAAGGGGAGAGATCTCTGATCCATTAATAATCTCCACATGAGTTGGGATCCTGGTTTTTCCAGTTCTGAATCCATGTGGAAGAACTCTGGCTCTATTCAGATGTAGGGTGAAGGAAGAGATGATGGGGCAGGGCTAGTGTGCTCCCCTTTGCGCATGATGAGTTTAATTATAAAGTCTGAATAAGGCTGTTGGTCCCAGGTATGTTTAAGTTCACAAGCATTAGGTGGTGCTGCAGGGTTTCAGAAATCCAGTCTCTCAGCAAGCGGACATGCAGCTTGTTCTCTCATAGGAGGATAAGGGAGATAGCTTCCATCATAAATATTGATCCAGGTTGTTTTTCTGACTTATCAGCACAGGCACATGGCTGCGGACTGCTGTCCCCTAGCTTACTGTTCCATTATATCAAATTTGGGTTGCGGTAGCCCTCTAAGGACATGCTGGTTTAGAGCCCTTTGCTCTGGTGTGAAATGGAAGCAAGTTAGTGCTCTCCAATTGTGCAAAAATTCTTTTCCCCGCTTTCCTCACTCTTTGATCATATGCCATACAAATTGGATCTTGGAAGGGGCAAAGTGACATCCCTGATCATCCTGGGCTATTTCTGGGGAATTTGGGGTGGAGAAGCTGTCAAACTATGGGCTTGTAATCCCCTAGGAATAATTGGGGGTATAGCTGGAAGGTGTTTGCACTATTAGAGACTTCCTTTTTAACATTTCACAGGGAAAAATGGTCATGATAGTATTTTGAAGGTGGTGTTGCTATGCGCCATCAAGTCCAGCTTATTGTAACCCTAATAGGATTTCAAGGTGCATGGTATGTTCAAAGAGTTGTCTACTATTGCCAGCACTCCTCCAGTGAATTTCCATGGCTGACTGGAAACTAAACACAGATCTCCTGCTTTCCAGTCCGGCACTCTGTCCACTACACCAAACAGGCTACCAATTTGAATATGATTGTCTTCATTTTCCTGAACACTTGTCAGTTGGTGAACAGAACATTCTGATAAAGTGGCATGCTGCAGAGAAACAGTGCGCTGGATTTATTCTGAGGATGGCTTAGTCATGCCTAAAATAGAGATATTTACGTCAGTCATGCCTAGCACACCCACTGTTTCCCCTTACTCTGTGCTAACCGTGACTAAATCTAGATCCAACCCATTGTGTTAAGCTGTTGTTCTCAACAAGACAAGCACTCTGCTGCATCAGTAACACGGAAGATTTTTTTTTCCTCATTAGTTTAATCTGCAATGAAGGGGACTTTTGAGCTGCAATTAGATTTTCTTCCATGGTTCTCTTCATATAATTACAATGCTTGTGCCATATGGAATGGGTTGCTACCTGTGTAAGCCTTCCCAGTATAGTAGTACCTAAACACTGCATATGGAGCTTTTAGCTCTTTAGGATTGTTGAGTCTAGGGCAATGGTTCTTTAATATGTGTTATATTCCATCTTTCTTTCAATGAATTCAAGACAATATGCATGCCTGTCCTCCTTCCCAGTTTATCTTTACAACAACACTGTGAGGTACATCAAGCTGGAAAAAAATGAGTGACTCAAGGTCACCCAGTGGGTTTGATGGCCAAGTTAGGACTAGAATTCTGGTCTCCCTATAGTCCAGCACTCCTAACCACTGTACTACACTGGGATGTGTATCTTACGTCCTATGCAATGATCTGTGTAATCACAGAAACAATAACAAAACTTTTTCCAAGAAGGACATGTGTATGATTCCAGTCATTGTGTTACTACAGTATGTTATTCATGTATGATAACTTGTTTTTCCAGGGGAGACACACTTGGAGGTTTCAGAGTTATTGCTAGCTGATCAGATTCCACAGGTGGATAATCTGTGAAATGAAAGGGTTGATAGGAAATGAGATGTCATGGATGCAGGTTGGCATGAGCACTGAACAATTTAGTCGTTGTTATGAAAACATGATGTCCCATTTGGTCAACACCTGTGACCCCCATGGTCGGGAACCATTGGTACAGCAGAGCATCTAATTCTCAGCAGGACCCCCATGACATAATTGTGGGGTTCCATGATAAAATACTCATATTTGCCTATGCCAGTAAGTTTTCTTTAAATACAAACACACATTAATGCATCCTTCCACATGGTCTAATGATCCTGTCCTTTGAGAATTCTAGGGTTTACAGCCTAGTTACCTTTTGTTTTCCCTCTGCAACAGGATTTCAGCCAAGGGGAGGGGTTCCATTATGATATTCCTAATTCCCACTTTGTCTCTGTTTAAAAAGACAAATAGCTATTTACTCCCTTTTCTGTCACTTTACTAAAGGTGCCAGGATTGGTCACCGTTCTCTGATGAGATACTACAAGCAGCGATTTGGCACTGTGCGAACAGTAGCAGTTTCAAAAAATAAACAGGCAGTGGGCAGAGTGTTGCAGCAATATAAAGCCCTTGGATGGACAAGCAGCACAGGTAGGCAAACAACTAATATATCACATCAGTGCTGTTATTAACCAATGCCGTTGAGAAGCACCTTTTTGCAAATTGTACATAGAACATGTTATCTGGAAGTAATCAGAATAACAACTAGCTAGTAGTGGCATATCCTTGGTACTAACACATTTTCAAAGACTACATATTAATACAGTTGTTTTTATTTTAAATTTCTTTTACTTTTATGAATTGTTGTTAGCTGCCCAGAGTAGACTATGGTTCAATGCCGTTGAGAAGCACCTTTTTGCAAATTGTACATAGAACATGTTATCTGGAAGTAATCAGAATAACAACTAGCTAGTAGTGGCATATCCTTGGTACTAACACATTTTCAAAGACTACATATTAATACAGTTGTTTTTATTTTAAATTTCTTTTACTTTTATGTATTGTTGTTAGCTGCCCAGAGTAGACTACGGTTTAGATGGGCAGGATATAAATTGAATAAATAAATAGATAGATAGTGAAAATCCTGTTGCCATAAGGTATGCCAAACAAGGCTTATGATGTCATCTGCTATGGTGATTTTTCAGAAAGAAAATATTTCCAGTCTTCCTCTCTCCAGGTCCCGGGGCTCTTGTTGGATCCCTTTAATAGTGAGGAAGCTGTCAAGAGCTTCAACATTGGGGGGAGGGAGGGGGAGAGAGGTCTTTAATTAGCTGCAATTGCCACTGCTGGGATGATTTTACTGGGATAAAATCCAGGGCCGAAATTGAATGCATCTCTAGTGCAACCGTTCTGACTCAAGCCAAAAACCTCAGTCTTTCATTGCCAAGATCACAGTAGATTAGGCATTCCCCTTCAGAAAGGTCCTTTCCCCATCTGCTAGATGTTGAATATTCGCTCTTTCTCTGCTGTTGCAGGAGCAGCGCTGGCTCGTGAGCGGGACATGCAGTACCTCCAGAGGATGAAAGCAAAGTGGATGCTGAAGACGGGCATGCAGAATAATGCTACAAAGCAGACACACTTCCGCATGCAAGTCAAGTTCTGAGAGTGTCTAAAGGTACCTTAAAGCTTGACCTTGCCTTTTCCCCCTGGGGAGGCAAAGGGAAGGCCCAGTAACCAAATATTCTGACACTGGTTGATCCCTTTCCCATGGCTATCTGTATACTGCTGTTTCAAAATCTTTCCCAAGGACATCATTTAGCCCAATAGAATGCTGATAAATCAATAAAAGTCTATGCATAAAAAGCATGCATTGTTTACTAGTCATTGTGTTGCACTTGCATTGCGTTTTGGACACTAAAGTGCTTTACATACATCCCTAGTATTGGAAAGGTGGGGGAGCATTACTTAGCGAAACATGGCTGGATGCTTGCTAGTTCCCTAGAAACAAGGTCTGAAAATTCAGAGCCTTTAATAGTAGTAATGTGTTGATCTGACTGGGGAAGTTCCATGAATTCCCATAGAATACTTCAGAAAGGAGTGCAAGATGTTGCAGAGACCACTCTCAGAACCTAGTGATATTACTGGAAGTGGCATTCGTAGAAAGTTCTAGCATCTGTGAATAATGTGGACAAAATGCGGGATATATTTCTGTTAGGAAAGTACCCTTTGTGAATCAAGCTGTCTTGTTCTGCCTGACTAGCCTTACAGATTCCTCTTTCTACCAGCATTTTTCCATCTAGTAACGCTTTTTCTAAGGCCGCTCTTTCTATGTGTTCCTTGCAGCCTGGGACTGCATTATGCTAAAGTTGTGCAGCAGAGGACAAATTCTGCACTTTGATGAGAGTTGGGGAGCAAGTTGATATATGCAGGTTGAACAGCTGTCTTTGAAAACCTTCCAGCTACCTCAATTCACTCACTGGGAGTGTCTGAATAATGCTGTTTAATGATTCTGCTATTAAATAACAGAACAGAAACAAACATCTCACTTGGAACATTTGTCAAGGTATAACAACTTTGATTGCATAACAACTAACCTTTCCCACTGCCACATCACTGTGCATATAATTAACATTTATCACACTCAAAAAGGTGCACCTCAAGAGGAGGAAAACATGGGAAATGCAATTAAGATATATAGCTATCCAATCTCCGAGCACAATGAATGCTTCTTCTTCATCATAGTGTATGAGTTTTAATCTTCTTAGTTGATTGCAATGGAATTGTGTCCCACCTTTGCTGTTGGAAACAATTTTCTGAGTATGATTTCAAAACTACAGTGGTGCCCCGCATAGCAACGTTAATCCGTTCCAGGATTAACGTCGCTGTGTGGATTCGTCACTATGCGGGGGGGGAACCCCATAGAATCGCATTAAAACGGGTTTAATGTGTTCCTATTGGGGCGAAAACTCACCGCTATGTGGGGAATCCTTTATCCGGGCGCCATTTTCGCTGCCCGGTAAGTGAGGGCAGGGCACGAAAACGCTGCAGGTGGCCATTTTGCGGATGCGGCGGCCATTTTGGAACTGCCGATCAGCTGTTTAAAAAACATTGCAATGTGATCGCATTAGCGATCGCAAAAAACGCGTCGCTATGCGAATTCGTCATTAAACGGTGCGCTTGTTAAGCGAGGCACCACTCTATATCCTAAAAATACATTATTGCCAACTCCTGTCTGTGCCATCTTATATGTTTCCAGATCAAGAATTGTAGAAGTGAAGAAGTGTTTGGGTGGGGAGAGAGATTGGCTACAGCTGCATCACTCTAGGCATGCTGCCATTTACTATTTCTACCAATTCTTTATCATAGTGTGCATAGACAGCAGTGGAGACACTGTGTCACAGTTGTATGATTGAACAGCTTTGGTTGAACCAGCATCAATTACAGGGTCAAATTAGATACTCTAATCTTGTATGCAGTAACACAATTGCAGGTGTATTATTTGTATCTGGAGGTAATCCGGTGTAGGTTTGAAGGTTCAGTTCACAATTGCTTGTGCCTGCAGTAACTCTTTTGCATATCTGTTCTGGAGGTGCAGCAGTTAGTGGTGGTAAAAAGCACAGATCTCCTCCTGTAGGCTGTACTTCCCTGATTTAAGTAACGTTCCAAAGTGGTGGTGGTAAAAAGCACAGATCTCCTCCTGTAGGCTGTCCTTCCCTGATTTAAGTAACGTTCCCACTCAGTGACAAGACAAATGTTGACAAAATTAAGTTCTCATTCTAGGATCATAAGAGGAGTTAAACAGGTAGTTAATGGCTGAAATCCTGTTGCTTAGTGTAGTAAGTTGCACTAGAGTAGGCCTATTGAATAGGTATTTGGTGAGTCAACTCTTCCATAAATTTCATTAATTCAAATGTGCCTTCTCCAGTTGTGACTTACTTTAGCATAGTAACTTACAACTAGAGTGGACCTATTTGAATCAGTTGAATTTATAGAGGACTTGACTCATCAAATCTCCATTAATTCAGTAGGCCTGCTGTTGTACAACTCACTATACTAAGCAATAAGATTTTAGCCAATATTACTTGAATTTGGGATCTCAAGGATGGGAGGATATGACACTAAAAACAAATTTCACTATTAAAATAAAACCAGATAGAGTAAACTCAAAATCCATTTTTTCTAGAAGTCAACTCCTTTATGACAGATGTGTAAGGTACTATGTTTTGAGCTTTTCAGATATGCTCCACAGTCAGGTTCAGACTGACATTCAAGATGTCTGGTGGTTAGTATCAAGATTAATCCAGTCCAGGTTTTACTTTCTAGAAAATTTGCTCTGTTAATCTTCTCATCCCAGACAACAAAGATTGTCAAACCATTTTGTGTGTCATTTTAATAACTAGATTCTCCACCAAAGCATAATAAGCTACAGTACTAATAATTTCATTCCTTTCATTGTATTAATTTTGTTTTCGTAAGGACCATTGTAAACATAGTGGCTGAAATCCTGTTATGCAGACAGTGACACTTTTTACTCATAAATTGCCGTAAATTAAGAAATCTCCATAGACACTATCAGTTGCATGATTCAGCAACCTATAGATACTTCTTAATTTGTCTCTAAAAGTTACACCATATGAGTAGCTATGCAACAGGATTTTGTCCAATAGAATACTGCGATTGCTAGCCAGGTCTTTAAAGAATATTCTCAGTTGTCAGGGTTTGGAGTTTGGCAATAGAGTTGTCATGGAGATCCTACATTCCATTAAGATTGTTCTGGTCATGTCTTGCATAAGATAAAAGATCATGGTCACATTCTGAAGGAATTGTGTGGCAGTAACACCAAGAGGATAGATCGAGTCAAGCGTTAGTGAAGAAACAGATTTTCAGCTACTATTGCATACAGACATAGCTGGACAGAACTGTGTTTTAGAAAGCAAGGCGAATAGAACAAAGTGACAAAGGCAGGAGATGGAAGTAAAAAAAATATCTCGGGCTTGGTGACTAGAGTGTGCCGGCATGAAAAACAAATGATACAATGAAGGACACAAAGATGTAAACACTTTTTAAAAAGGGGCAAATACTTTTAACAATTACATTGTTTAAAATAGCTAGGGTTATACAGAATTGCTTGTTGTTACTATTCATTTAGTTTTTGTTATTTAAAATCACATTTTATTTCATTTTTTTAAAACTACATTTGCTTCAGTTGGGTACTTTATTATTATTTTTTAAGCTGGCTGTAACAGTGGAGGTAATTTGGGCAGCTGTCTTTATTTTGGCCATGATTTTATTTTGATTGTGATTCCCCCCCCAAAAAAAAAAATCATACTGACAATTCGATTCTCAATGCACACACACACACCAAGTGTCTTGGAATTAATGCATCAGACATGGTATTCTGAGAAAATAAAACCAAGGCTGTCAAGACGTGTCTGACAAAGCTAGCCACTGGAAAGGGGAGGCCCCACTTTCACCTGAGTGTAATTTGTAGAATAGCTCTCTCTAAAGCCAATCTTAAACTTAGCTAATATGTAGTGCATAAAAAACAAAAAGCAAAGTGCTTAATACTGGAGAAGTTGTCATTAGATACTCTAGGATAACCAAAATAGTTTCATGCAAAGTCCATTAGCTTTTCTTCCCACTTCAAGTGATATTAGGCTCTCATATTCAACACCACCAGAACAAAAAAAGTTTTCAAAAATTGTTTTGCTGTAACAAATGATATCATGATGCTCTACAATCTAGATTATCGGCTTGTATAGAAAAAGGAAGGGAACAGTATAATTTTGAATTCTATTATTTAGAGGAAGATGCAGTGATGCAGAGCCCTTTTAAAAACATATTAAGTCCTCCTACGTGGATAATAGATTGAATCAATCATATTCACCATGGATTCAACTGAACCAAGGTGTTTATGAATAAAGGATTGGAAGACAGTCAAGACTTGCTGAAAAATGGTGTGTCATCCTGACTTGAATCTGAAAAGACAAGCCTATTCAGAATAAAAACAACAACAAAACAACTTTTAAAGAGTAGAAAAATTCAATGGATTGCTTGAAAAGGATAGCTTTTTATATATACCTATGCCATCTCCATATACTCCACACACATGTATATGGATCAAAGTATATTAAAATTGTGGCTTACCAAACACTACATTTCCTACACTAAAGTAGATTATAAATCCAGGAGGCCTGTCTGAATCAATGGAACCTATGGAGGATTTGACTCTCACCAAGTCTCCACTGCTTCAGTGGGTCTACTCTAGTGTGACTTAATATGCTGCATGATGGGATTTTTAGACATTGACTCTGGAATCTTCATAAATGTTGACATATCACTCAGCAATTAATTCAATTGTTTTACTCTGTAGCAACAGAATACTGGCCATTGGAACTAAGAATAACCTGACTCACAGGTAACATATAAAGGAAACTATGCTCTGCAGTAATCTATGGAGAACCATTACTACACACAGTGTTGGACCAGTGATACTGGGAATAAGTCCCACCCAGATATGAAGCTTCACTAGATGATCCTGTGGTGCAAATTACCATATCAGCATAACTAATCTATGTGACAGGGACCTTGCTTGAAAGGCTAAAATAGGGCAGTCCTCTTTCCTCTGGTTTAGCTTGGCAAACATAACAGATGAATCATCCAGCTACCAAAAACCACACTCCATGGTATTGTACAATGGTCTCCAATATTTTGAGGTTTTCAGTCGTAACTGCTAATAAAGTTTTCATTGCTATTTTTTTAAATCTATGCAAATATATTTTACCACATAATGGTACATAAAATTTAAATCTGGAAGAAAGTAAAGAAAAGCTCATCTCCTGCAAGGAACAGAAATTAATTAAGGG